TTAGTAATTTATTGTAGAAACTAATGCTTTGGCATGTAGGAAAGGATTGTACTTTTCTAACGCAAGTCATGTATATTTTAATCTAATTAACTGAACATTTTATTCGGAGTCGGGGCGTGAAACGTCTTATTAAAGTGATTAAAGTGACCAAGTGACTTACGCATAACTTTGTTAGCCGACAGGGTCATGTAGTTCGAACATATTCGAATATGCAAATGAGTTCTATGCAAAGCTGCTTTCTGCAGTAATGATAAGTCACGCGCATCGAACTGTGCGGAGTTCGGGCCGACGATTGACTTCTAAACATTCGAAGTTTCGAACAAACTCCCGGCACACCTTGCGCGATATGCGTCAGATCGTGTTGAAAGAACGCCGACCTGCAGAGTCAATGAAGTACATGTGTACTGTGATTTATTCATCTTTCTTTCCCTGTGAGATAGCGCCGACAGCGCCCTGGTCGTGATAAAGCGCCCTCACAGTCCTTGGTGATTTATAATTGACAACATTTTGGATGTCGAAAGATTACGAATAAATAGTCGATTGATCTCGTCTGGATCACACTGTGTCCAGGAGTCGCGTCTCAATCTACCTTTCGTCATTACACCAATGTTAGCGATGAAAACAATCGGGAAGAACACGGCTCTTCGGTAAGTTTATCATTGTCAAATGCAACGAAAGTCATTTATGATTTTTATGTTTAGTACAGGCGCGTTACCTAAGTGATCTTTTTCTTTCATGCTTCGCGCGTCGATTTTGTAAAACTGTTATTAGTTCTGACGGTGCTGTACGCAAACTTGTATGTTTTAAGATCGTTTACTTAGTGCGCTGCTTTTCTATTTACGCAAATTTGTTTACATTGTAATATATCGCTTTCATATTAATTACGCAAAGTCAGTTATTTTATATTGGACACAGGTGAAGTTTCGTCCGCGAACGATACAGTGTGGTATAGATTTGAATTTAATAATAGTTAGTACCCGTTGTATCCCTAAACTGTACCACTCAAAAAAACAATTGTAAAATGCTGTGGAATCTCTTTTGTAAATAAAAAAATGTATTAGCAATTTTCTACTAATTGTTTATGCAAGTTAATTTATTGAGCTGTACATGAATTGGTGGGCATAATATAATGTAATATATGATACATTTATTAAAATACTAAACAATTCATTATAAATGTAACGATAAAATATCCTGTCATTAAAAAAATGATACTGGAGTGGGAAACTGACTCTTTCTCGCACCTCATCTATACTTGATATTTCCATCGCCACTGATATTTTTCGACGTGGTGGTGGTGTGGAATTTTGAAATAAAATAGTTTAAATTATCACCAACACAGATGAGAACATGAAGACTTGTCAAACTGCGAAAAGTGTGTGCTTCTCACACTTTAACAATTTGAGGTGCGAGTGACAGTAATAATACTGAAGTTAATCGAAATGTTACTGCAAATCAAGTACGCAATTCTTTATACCGAAAACAATGTATTGTTGTGTTAATCGTAGCAGCCACCTCCACTATCTTCCCAAAAATGCTGGACAGGGCTTCGTGATCGAGACTGTGGGACTATTTATAAAACATGATTTTCTCCAAAAGAAATAGGCTGATCCCTATTTTTCCAACACAAAATATGATATATATAAACTTGTGTGTAAATTATGGGTATTTCAATTTGAACGTCAATCGTACGTGAATCGAGCATGGGAAAAAACGAAAAACAAAAACAAAACTAGAATCCTATTTTGATCAGATTCAAGTTTAGAGTAGCCTAACCCTGAAAAGTTACCCACGACAACAAGCACAAAACTGTTTATGCCTGGTGCTTTGCGCATAGTCAACACGAGTCTCTGGATAACAGGTAGGAACGGAAAGTAGCGTCAACATACAGCATTAATGAATGAAATTTACATTACAATATTATGTTTCCGAACAATCCGATATTTATGTTGGAGACTGCCAAGTACAAAGTGTAGTCATTGACAAGTCAGTAAGCAAAATATACTGTGGATATATGGTATACATGAACATGTTACTACAGAATAAATGTCAGTGAATAATTAAAAAAACAAACAAACTTGCAGCCCCAGGGACAAGTGACAATCCCCTTTTAAAAATCTCATTTTATAGGGTTTCCGCATGAAGTAACACGTTATCTTTACAACAAGAAGAGTAACAATTTCTTTTGTCCAGGTTGTATTAATTAATATACCATGAGTATTTTTGTAAAGTGTACCTTTATGTATTACCGGTAAAATATGCACACCATTAAAATGATAAGAACTTCAAATGCAACCGTAGTACAAATACAGAGCAAACAAAATTATCGAGAGTGATTTTGAATTACCAGTAGTTAAAATTTTGCTAACATGGTGTGACATTATATATAATTGATGTTGGGAATTACCAAGCCATTTCATAAAATAGTGAACAAATATTTTCGTAACTAACACTAACCGTGAAACACACCCATCATTATTATTATTATTTAATTACACAAGGGTATCTGTGTTTATATTACTTTTATTAGTCCTCAACTATATCTTGAATGATTATTTGGTACAAATATGAGAAGATTTGGAATACTTATTTTATTCAAAATTTAAATGGTTTTACCATTTCTCAGATATAACTTTGATTTGATTTTAAATGCCATAACTTCTCCTCTCAAAATGTAGGTGCCACATTTTTATTTATTTTTCTAGATTGCCTTGTATGATGTTAAACTAAATAATCAGCTAAAATTATTCAATGTTTGGAATTGTGTTTGGTGACTCAAACAAGTTTTTGTTTTTGTTTAATGTTCACATTCAGTAACTCAAACTTATTTGTTCTTTTAGCTGGCAACATTGAGAATGATAATGAGGTAACATCTATGCCATCAACACCAAAACAAACACGTCGTTCTGCTTCCATGGTTGATGTTTTGTCTTTTTTTCAAAAACGACAAGATGATGAGGCTAGTTTCCGGCGAGAGGAGATTGCTTTGAGAAGAGAGGAGTTGGAGTTAGAGCGACAGCGACTTAAAACTCGATAAGGAACGCCTAGAAAATGATCGAAAAGAAAGAGAAGAACATGCTAAAATTGAAAATAGAGAAAGAAATATTATTTTTGAATTACTTAAAACAAACCTCTTAGATTAATTGTTGTGTTTACTTTGTGCAGTTGAGATACATTTTTATATTGGTAGTCTATCGTTTAATGTATAATTTTCATTTCAAATAGTTTAAATTGTAAAAATTTACCGATAATTAAAAAAATGTTTTTGTCTCGATTTTACCTCAGGAATGTTTTAATTGATCTCAATGAATATAATTAAGAAAACAAATGTAGATATAAAGAATCACATACAAACTAAATAACACAAATATTATAGTGGTTTATTTAACACAGCATTCACTACTATGAATGAATGGTATATGATTACAACATAGCTGTTATTTACTATAACTGAAACAAGTACACTAAACTTACTATCTCTTGAACTAAATTTCATAATATTAAAATTTACACTTATTTTTGTTTGAATCAAAATTCTCCATAGTTATCAAGCTAAAGTTTTTTTCTAAAATCATTGTTCGCCATTGGACAAATACTCTTCTAGAGATGGGGGCTGTACATTGAAAAAGGTGCCAGTTTGACTCCCATAAATACATGTATGACAATTAGTGAGCAGTG